GAACACAAGCAGGGAGAGTGGGAGAGGGAGAAGCAGGCCTCCCACCGAGCAGGGAGCCCGATGTGGGACTTGATCCCAGGACCCCGGGATCATGACCTGAGCCGAAGGCAGACGCTTAACGACTGAGCCACCCAGGCACCCTCTGCTCTTTTAAATATTAGCTGCTTTGCAAATATCATTTAGCAAATGAAAATATTTGACAATAGCTTTACTTAGAACTCAGGATCCTATTAAAATTATTTCAAAGATCTGTTGAAACACAATGACCAGCAACCGCTAAATATCAAGATGAAAACACCACCCATGATAATCTGAACAACTATCAGGAGAAAAGGAAGGAGCTGAGACTCTTGCAAACTGACCGTATGTGAGCGTGTAAACTGGTTTCCCCGTCACGTCCAGGGCGGTCAGACAGGGGCATTTTGCTTGCGTGGTGCCCCAGCGCTGCAAGGCCGACTCAAGAGCAGGAGGCCAGTTACAGATGACTCCTAATGGCTCCCCCTTTACAGGGGTCATCTGCCGTCCTTCAGGTTTGGGCTGGTTGGGGTCTGGCTGAGGTACTGTACCAAAAAAAAACCCCAGGGGTTATAAAAATATTATCTGAAATATATACAAATAGCAACTAACACAACTTAGATCTCTAATCGCAAATATATTTCCCTTTTCTCATCTTTATTTGGTTTAAACTCACTCTGAAAAGAGAAATGATATTGCTAGAAATGGTAATCCACAAAATGGGCCTGAATTCCCTTCCCACACAATCGTGAAATCATATTTAATATATTTTATGTAATAAACTAATCCTGACTCTAACAAAGCAAATCACTGAACGTACAGAAAAGCAGAGAGCCTACATTCCTTTTTAGCAATTTTATAATTTGACTCAACTGGTTTTTAAATCCTTAAATCCTTCTAATCCAGAAGTGTCTGATGTTAGAGAGTCAGGTTGCACTTCACTGGGTTATATTTAACGACAAAGCATTAAACTGTATGTCAGAAAACCCAAATTTACGTTAACATTTTACCAGTGTGACCTTAATCAACTTGAGTTACTTGAGCCTCATTTTTCCTCATCTGTAAAATGGGGATAGTAACACTTAGGGTCATTATTACACTTGATCTTAGTCAAAAGACAGAGACTGGATGGCATTATTACACTTGATCTTAGTCAAAAGACAGAGACAGCATGGATGACAGTGTTCCATGTCTCCGTACCTTTGTACACATCTCATCTGGCCAACCCCTTTGCTCCCGTTTTACTTGTACTCATCTTTGTCAGGATGCAGCTCAAACAGCACATTCCCTGGGAAGCCGTCCCCAGTCATTCCTTCCTTAGTGCTCCCCCACTGTATGGTAGTCTACCCTTAATTAAAGCACTGAGGATCCTCAAAGAATTACTGTGTAAGCTTTTCTCCCCCTAAGCCTGACACCTTCTTGAAAGAAGGCCTGGTTCTTTGTCTTCTTATTACGTATGGTGCCTAATACATAACGGTAGCTCAACTGATGTTAATTAAACTGAACTGAATTTGGGGGAAAGGAAGTGCCAGATTATTAACATGGTCATTCCAGAAATTGGAGGTGAATAGTATTTCATATTTTTTCATATGAATAAAAGTCCTCTTAATTGTTCTACAATGAACCAATATTATTCAAATAATAAAAAGCAAAAAATTCTATTTTCATAGCAGGAAAGATAATTTACACATGGAACAAAGTCATTTACTGAGTGCCAATGATACGCACAGGATGTGATAAACACTGAGGAAATAAATGCTGTACCTACCATTCTTTGAACAAACATTTATTGTCTCTAATAAGTGCTAGGTGTAAGAAGCACCGAGTCCACACCCTCACAAGGTATCTGGAGTGCAAGGGGGACACACACACACACACACACACAGAACTAAGTAGAGAAACATGAACAATGCATGACAGAAACATTACAGGGATGGAAGAAGAAGGCCACATCACCTAGCTTAGAGGACGGAGTCCCCCATGGGAGCTGAGTCTTAGAGGAAGGGTAGGAATTAGCCAGGTGAGTGGGAGATGAGAGAAGAGGCATAGAAAGGAAAAGAAACAGAATAAGCAGCAAGTATTAGATGGGCAAATGAAATATGAAATAAATTTTATTTTATAGCTCAACTTAATGACAGACTTGGGAAACTTACTTAAAATGTCTTGATTCTTTTTTCTACTAACATAAAACTAATGAAATAGTTTCAACTTTCCAATTTACTGCCCTAGGTATATAACGTTTCAGCTGCCCTTCTGCTTCATATATTCCCAGACTCTAAACCACCGCATTCATTAAAAAAATAAACATGTGTAATTCTAAATAGTTTTGTTTTTAGGGACAGACTGTATATATGGTAGGCATAGTCTTCTGGTCATAAAAGTGTATACGTTATTGCCACCCACTAGGCCTCAATGCAGACCCTGGGGGACACTCTTTCAAAGGCTTCCAAAAACATGTGGATACTTTACTTTTCCAAAGATAAATTAAATAAGCAATTGTTGCCCATTTATAACTAGTGGAAAGCTGTTAGTGCTATTCTGCCAATGAAAATTGTTCAAGTATGATTCCTATTAAACCTTGACCTTCATTTGCCTGGTTAATACACAGTGCTAGAAATACTGGGGAGGCTATTACTGGTATGAGCATCTTGAATATCAGGATATGTAGGAAGATGTCCATAGTGCAGTGAGTTTAGTGACTCCTAAAGAAACATAAAGTCATCTTAACCTCATATGTCAGGTTGCCTGTTGCTTCTGGCTGCATAAAGTGGGCTAAGACCAGATCTAGTCTATTAACATGCCTAGTTCCATTAACACGTCCAAAGTGATCAAAGCCTACTGTATTAGTCTCAGGATGTAAAACTGAACTACAAAGCTACCAAGGCTCAGTTCTTTTGACAAAACCTTTTGTTAGGTAGATCTTTTCATCATCCAGCTTCAATAATTATCAAACGGCCACTTTCATTTCATCTATACTCCTACTCATTCAACTCCCAATTCTTCCTATTAAATCCTAAACATCACACGATTTCATCCATAAATATCTGTTAAATTATTAAATAAAGAAATCACTATTACTACTTCCTCTACGAAGCTTTCCCTAACCACACAGATGGGACTGATTTCTGCCCTTCTCCCAGCTGTTGTATTAGTCGATACATACTTATTGGCTAAACTATGCTTTCACGTGTATATATTTTAGTACATCTAATGTGTAAACAATATGAAGGAATGGCTCTATTTTCATAAATCTTTGAACTCTTCACCATTTACCACACTGTCCTGTAAAAAGCAGACATATGTGTTGACTGACTGATTTAACAAAAGGATTATGTTGTATCAAAAAAGACGGGGCAAATTTTTTTTTTTTTTTTCCCGTAAGGAGAGACTTTATTTGAAAGGATTAAGGCAGGGTTGGAAGGAGGGGAAAGACTGTTACAAAAGGGAGAACTCTCTGACAATAAGATCTGCAAGTGTCTCCAACTGGGCAAATTTTTGAGGTCAAATTTGACATGTGTATTCTAGGATAATGCAAAATGTAAATAATTTTAAAAATTTTATATTTGGGAAAGTTCCTAATTTCAAAGAGCATATTTTACAAGGATAGTTCTATATGCCTCCATAGTTCTCTCTTTGCCTTTCTGTCCCCTTCCCCCCTCTTTATTTTGCACCTGAGATCTGAAATACAAATGATCCTTAGGGAAAGAAGAACAGAGAACTACGAATTCTTTCAACAAAAATGCTGCCTCGTCCACCTTTAAATCCTACGGTACCTGACATGTAGTAATTGCCTAAGATATGTTTGTTGAAGGAATGTATGTCTTCAGTATTATTACTACTACCTTCCACAATTTCTTCAGAGTCATCCACGAAAAATTCTTTTAAGGGAGGTCTTTTGGGTCGTTTCAGAGTGTTGAGAAGCTGCTGGATTTTGGTGGATACTCTGCTACTGACAGGAACACCTAGAAGGGGAAAAACAGTAAGTTAAAATTCATTGATTTTAGGGCTATCTCAGCTTCTCAATCCTCTTAGGAGTTTTTATTTCTAATGACATTTGGCTTTTGCTCAGTCTTATTCTAATTCAACTGGGCCAGAAATGTACAAATATGTACATAACAAGTTTTATGACAACACAGAACAAATATGGTGCTATTATTAACATCCTGCTTCCAGATTTCATCTAATCCTCTTTTTTACTTATAGCATTCTTTTTTTTTTCCATACTCAGTTTTTTGTTCAGAATATCTTTTGACAATGCAGACTGTCTGAACAAGTAACAGTGCTGCCACAGGGCAGGCTGTTGAAAAAGAGGGTGCTCCAGGGGACATGCGGGCAGTGGAGTTCTGCTCAACCACTCAGGTGCGGCTATTCACGATGTCAATTTTCCCAGTTTAACTAATATTCCCTATTTAGCTACCCAAAAGAACTCCCTACCATCAGCTGTATCCATAAGGCTGGACCTGTTGGATCCTTTGTGCATGCCTTTAACTATCCCCGAGGGGGGCAGATCAATATTTGCTGGGCGCATTGAGGAAGATGATGATGAAGAAGAGGTAGTTGTAGTAACATCAGGGGGAGCAGAGAAATTCTCTAAGAGGGGAGAAAACAAAATTTAGAATCATATTACATTAGCAAAAATTCTTTAAATTTTTGTTGTTTCTTAACAAGGAAAAAATGACATAAACAGGGCATCAACTGTTATAACATAACCTTTGAAATCAAATTCTACTAGGAAGATATAATGAGAGGGCAAGAGGTTAAGGAAGGGCATATCAAAATTATTATTTTTAAAATTTGAATAGCCTTAGTAAGAGCAAATCACATGTCAAATATTCCTGAAAAACATTCTTTCCTACACAGAAAGACTGGTAGAAATTCAATATTAATAATCGTAATAGAATAAAAACTGTGAGTGACTTCAAAATGAAAACAAAGTGAGCATGGTCATAATAGTCTCAAGCATTTGAAGACTAGAGTCTTGAGTCTTCTAGTCTCAAGCATTTCTTCATGTTTATGTTGACTTATCTATGTTTCTTCTTCCACTGAAAATGGAAGGAGTGACTTGGGAGTGGGGTCAGATTCCTCAGGTTTCCAGATGAAGAAAACCAGATAAAGCTCACTTTCAATTTTTATAAAATAACCCACAAGAACCTTGGATCTACTTGACACACACGGTTCTTCCCTTGATTGAAGCATGATTAAATAATGTTATTGTACTCTGCTTCATGTAGGGATTCTTAATATTGAGAAACCGAATGATATAAGTTGGAGGAGAGCCATTCAACAGGGATGTGTTACAAAAAACTTAGAAAAATATCTGGAGAAGGAAAGGAAAATTAGAGGAAGTAAAATATACGATTCACAAGAGTAACAACAAGCCACTCAAAACTATAAAAAAGACAAAAAGCATAATATAAACAATTTCTATAATAAGTTTGGGAGTAAGGTCTCTATGCCCCAAAAGTCTGCTCTTACTAGTTCAATAGTTTTTAAAGTTCTAAATATACCAGCACAAGTATACTCCATGATACCTTTCTGTAGGATGAGGTAACAAAACATTAAGAATAGGCACTTTTATTTGACCCAGCAATTCCACTACTGGAATATATCTTAAGGAAATAATCAGACAAACGCACCAAGTTGTGTGTTCAAGGATGTTCCTTCCAGCACTTTTTACAATAACAAAAAGTTGGATAATACCTAAATGTCCAAAACAGGGGAAGGGCTAAATAAGCCAAAGCATAACCATATAATGGCCTACTTTGAAACCATAAAAATATAGTATAATTCTATATTAATGATCTAAAAGATGTTTGTGATACACTGCTAAGAAGAGCAGGTTATGAACACTATGTTTAGTACAATTACATTTTTGTTAAAAAGACCAAAACCCTACATATTCATATACAAAAAAAATCTAGGAATAGACACATTAAAGTGTTATCCATGGGAAGTGGCTTTATAGATTACTTTATCTTTATTTGTACCTTCAATTTTTTCTACTGGGAAGATGAATTGCTTCTGTTAGAGAAAACATCCAAAAGGCAATAATGTTAGATAAAATGGTTTCTGTGAGTACCTGAAAAAAAAACTTTTCATAGACTAGCAGAAGCAAGAGAAAAAAATATAAGGTCAGATGAAATCATCTTGTTAACAAAAATCCAGACAGAGTCAACTGGGGATTAGGTCTGCCTTCTGCTCAGGTCATGGTCCCAGCATCCTGGGATCCAGCCCTGCATCAGGCTCCCTGCTCCGCGGGAACCCTGCTTCTCCCTCTCCCACTCCCCCTGCTTGTGTTCCCTCTCTCGCTGTGTCTCTCTCTGTCAAATAAATAAAT